TATATATATATATAATTTCATCCATACAAAAACAGTGCATCAGGAAGACTCGACTTAGCAGCTGTACTGAAAACTAGAAAAGCTGTAAAATCATCATACTGTATGTGCTTATAATCAGTGGGATCATTATAAAGACACAACTCTGTTAGCACATATTCAAGATGTTTTTTGTTTTTATTTATAGGATGTCTGACCTGCCTACTTTCCCCTGTATGTCCTTCCTGTTGCTTTGCATTTTGGGTATGACCTTAGTGACATCTGGCTTCCCTCAGCCTCGACTACATCTCAGGTGGCTACTCACTAAAACCTACTGAGGCTGCAGCAAACAGCACTTATACACTGGTTCTGAGTCATTGAACTGACAGAAGTGCTAATACTTCACATATGTCACTGAAAGTCTAACGTTTTTCCTGTTAATTTCCCTCTTTCTGTGTTGAGGTAATATATTTCTACATAATATAATATAATCTAATATGGTAAATGTGGATGATAGTATATTTTCTACACTATTTAAAATGTGCCTGTCTCCTACACTTTACTAATATTCTAGGAACCAGTTTCACAAAGAATCACAAAGTGTAACCTTATCTGATTCCAGGAGTACTGAAATTTCAGAGAAACCTAAAGGAGATGAGTGGGACCTGCTCTTCCCCTCCAACTCTCTCCGTGATTGGACCATTGAAATGATGTCAGCACCCATTCTGAGAGCAGCAGCCAATAGCAAGGAAGGACTGATGAGAGAGACATGGTTCTTTGCCCCAGAGAAGCAAGACGCAAGGTAACAGCATAGTTGGGGGAAATTCTGTTATGAAGCTATAATGAAATGAAACACAGTATTTAATAGTTAAAAATGGAAAGCTCCAGCTTCTGGGAAGTCTTTGACCAGGCCAACCCCAAGTTGCCATTTGTTTGTTTGTTTCTGTATGAATTAAATGATATTTAACATGTTAATTAGCTTCAGAGGGTATCTGTTTTAAGTTGTTATGCTATGCTAAGCATGTCCTGGTTCTAGCTTCCCACACATGTATACATATATATATATATATATACAGTATGAGCATAGTACCAATGCTGTCATCTTATTGTTAGCAAGAAAGTAAATAAGCAAATTTCCCCTAATGTCAAACAATTGTTTCTTTTAAAAGCATACACAAAAAGCTAAAACCTAAAAAATGTGAACATACTTGTGTGAAAAAAAAAGTATTCTTCAGTATACTTAGTTGTATGTGGTGAGTGTAAATGAGAATATTTTTATCATTTAGGTGAACTTACCTTTTCAAACAACCAGAGGATGGTTAGCTTAGCTTAGCATAAAGACTAGAAGTTGAGGTAAATGGCTATCTTCATAGTTATGAAGTGGTATTGACCTTTTCAACTAGTCTAATTCTCTAAAAGAAAGCAAATAAACATATGTCCCAAAATGTCAATACTATTCCTTTAAACATGTATTTTCAGAGAAAATTTGGAGCACTGAAGTAATGAAGTCATACCAAAATGAAGCAGAACATCATCCAGTAAAGATAAGACTTTACATGACCTTCAAGAGTCATGAATTGTGCCAGCTCAGATTTGCTGCAAGTGAAATAAATAAAATAACACAAGGGTTAGTTATTAGTGTTGGACTGTGTGGTAACTGGATTGTTTTCTTGTTGCAAACATCAAGGTCTTGGTCTGTGTTTTTCTAGCATAGATAGGGTGTGGCCTGCTGAATGGTCATCTCAGGGAGCCGGGATGGTGAAGAGGAACATGGTGGTGGCTGATGATACAGCCTTCAGAGAGAAGAGCAAGCTCCTTACCTCCATGGAGAGACAGAAGTGGCTCAACTCTTACATGCAGAAACTACTAGTGGTTAATTCTTCTTGATAACTCAGTCTTTACAGCCCTTCTACAAGAAAACTAAACCACTTTCTGAACTCTACACTGGCAAAAAGCCCTTTAAAAGGGTTCGCTGTGTCTCTGGATGATTGCTTAGTCAGTCAACTTAGACATTGAGATAGGGTCCTTAAACCTGTGTATTAGTAGTGTTTAGGTCTAGCCTCTGGAATCTGTTTCTGTTTCTTGAAGCACTTTCACTATTTTATTCCAATACTCCTCTAAACTGCAAGCTGATTAAGTTATTGGTTTCCCAAAAGATTGCTAAATGAACAATCCAGAATGTTTTTATGTTGAACATACATAAATCTAAATTGAGTAAAAAAAACTGAAAGTAAACTGGTGTTACTTTGATGAATAAATAAAGATGCAAGTAATGATTTTGATGACTGCCGCTTACGTTTGACTCACTCAACAGTACCAATATCATGTGAATTTATTAGTATTATTTTAATACATTACTAATTATAATGATCCTTCTGTATGTTTTACATAATTTTACTAAAGCCAAATGCAAGTGTTTGTACTGAATGACTGTATAGTGTAAATGGCTGTAAAGTCTACTGATAAAAATTAAGACGCATTGAGCACATTTAGGCTTGTGTAAACTTACAAAACATTAAATTAGTAGCTCAACATTTTGATACATGGGAAAAACATACACAGGAAAACATATCTATCACAGACAGGTATATCCATCCATTAGCTATACCCCTTCCCAAACGGGATTGCGACTAGACAGGTACAAAACTTCTCAATTTGAAAAGACCATCTCAATGGCTTACAAAGTGTAGTAACTCAATTAAAAGACCACAGTCTATGGTGGTATCAACACCAGTTCTTCCACCCTGCCAATTCTTTCCTGCAGCTGCATCCTGTTGGCCAGTCGCTGCCTGTCCCTCCTCTCCAGCACTGTCTGAAGAAGTAGCTGTGCAGCCTCAGATGATGGGAGCACGCCTGGAGTTGAGGCCCTGCCATAAAGCCCCTCTGCTGGGTAGCTGCTGTGTTTGACTGTCCTGACAGCCTGGAGGCTGGCTCGGTGGGCCTGGGAGTAAGGGGGCAGGGATGAGAGAGAAAGGAGAAGAGAGGAGGTGTCCATTCCACCCTGCAGCCTCTCTCCTCCTCTGACCTCGCCATCCCCTCTACCTCTCCTCTGCCCTTTCTATGACATAAAATTAAAAAATCTTTAGAGAGAAACACTGATTCAGAGCACACACACCTATCACCGTCATTTGTCTGATCAAACACAGGCGATCTGTACTGACGGTCTCAAAACAAGCCCCCCATTTTGGATAAATAAAGAGGTACAATAAGGGTCTGTGCTGAGTCCTTTACTATTTACATTTAACAAAACTATTATTCGAACACAGATGTATAAGTTCCAATTGTATGTAGATGACACAGTCTTGCATACATTTGGCTCCTCCTCAACTCAATCTATATCAAGATTACAATTGGCCTTTGATGCTTTTCAGACATCTTTGATCAATCTGAGGTTTGTACTGAACCCAGGCAGGACATAGTGGGTTTTATTCTCAAGAATCCAACATTCCAGTTCACATTTTAATGACATACAGTGGGTACGGAAAGTTTTCAGACCCTTTCAAGTTTTCCATTTTGTTATGTTTCAGATTCTTCTTAAAATAGATTAGTTTTTCCATCAATAATCTACACACAGTACTTCACAATGACAAAGCAAAAAACTTTTTTGGAGTGTTTGGTAAATGTATTAAAAATAAAAGACTGAAATAAACCATTTACATAAGTATTCAGACCCTTCGTTTAGTCCTTAGTTAAAGCCCCTTTAGCAGCAACGACAGCCTCAAGTCTTCTTGAGAATGAAGCTACAAGCTTGGCACCTTTCTTCTGGAATTTTCTTTCATTTTTCTTGGCAGAATCATTCAAGGTCAGCCAGGTTTAATGGGGAGCGTTGGTGCACAACCATTTTCAGGTCTTTCCAGAGATGTTCTATTGGGTTCAGGTCCAGACTCTGGCCGGGCCACTCCAGGACTTTCACAGAGTTTTCCCAAAGTCATTCCTGTGTTTTCTTGGCTGTATGCTTCGGGTCGTGGTCTTGTTGAAATGTAAACCTTCACCCCAGCCTGAGGCAGCACTCTTCCCTCAACCCTGACTAGTCTCCCAGTCCCAGACACAGAAGAACATTCCCACAGCATGATGCTGCCACCACCGTGTTTTACTGTAAGGATGGTATTAGTGAGGTGATGCTCAGTGCCTGGTTTTCACACACATGCTGGAAATTGTGGCCAAATAGTTCAATCTTAGTTTCATCAGACCACAGGATTTTGCTTCTCATGGTCTGAGAGTTCTTCAGGTGCCTTTTGACAAACTCCTAGGGGGCTGTCTTGGGCCTTTTAGTGAGGAATGGCTTCCGTCTGGCCACTCTACCACAGACACCTGATTGGTGGAGTGCTGCACTGATGGGTGTTCTTCTGTAAGGTTCTCCCATCTCCAGAAAGGAACTCTGGATCTCATTCATAGTGACCCTTGGGTTCTTGGTTACAGGTCTAACCAAGGCCCTTCGTCCCTGATTACTCTGGGTGGTTGGGTGGCCACATCTGTGAAAACTGGGAGTGGTTCCAAATTTCTTCCATTTGAGAATGAAGGAGGCTACCGTGCTCTTGGGCACCATCAATGCTGCAGAAATTTTCTTGTGTCCTTCCCCAAATCTTTGTCTTGACACAATCTTGTCTCACACATCTGTGGGTGGTTCTCTCGACCTCATGGTTTTGTTTTCACTCTGACTTAAACCATTAACTATGAAAACATATATAGACAGGTGTGTGCTTTTCCTAATTATGCCCAATAAATTAAATTAGGCACCAATAAATTTAATTAGGCATGGGCAGACTCTAACCAAGCTGTAGAGACATCTCATGGAATACTGATACTAGGAGGATGCACCAGAGCTCAACTGCAAATGCCATAACAAAGGGTCTGAATACTTACATAAATGGAACATTTCAGTCAAAAAAAAGAAAAGAATTGAATCAATTTTAAGATGAGTGTAAAACATAGTGTTTAAAACTTGAAAGGGCCTGAAAACTTTCAAAACACACTGTACATAAACTAACCAAATTCGTGACTCCAGCTCTGTGCTTCACGCACAGACATGAAATTTTTTATCAACCCTCTAATTTCACTCTGGAAAGAAAACAAGTGGGTTTTCCAAAATGTTGAATATTTTTTTAAATATACTGAATACCTTGTTTTTACAGATTCCATTTACTTCAGACTGAATATACTTCAGTACACAGACACAGTTTATCGTGGGCGTATTTTCATTTTCTTCACAGGGATCTAAAGTCTGATCTAAAAAATTAGTAAATGCCCTCTATCGGAGTGGCTCTGTGTGTGTGTTGCACACCTGTGCTGTGGGCAGTCTCAGCAGCATGTCCTCTAATTTTTCCAACCCCTGGTTTCCATGGTGACACTTTCTTGTGCTCACATTGGGTGGATGCAGAGGCTCCTTGACAACAGGATCTTTAAAATGCCAGTCCACAACACTGTCCTACATACACACATAAGATTAGCATCATGTTTCCTCGCACATATGGCTACTGTCATCTGGGAGAACACTGAGTGGAGATTTCAGCCAGTTTTGCTGGCTGATAGCAATAACTGTGTAAGTGGGTCAGAGGAAAAATACAGTGGCCCTACCCAACGACAGAAACTGTCTGGTGATGATGATAATTACATACACAAATTCACAATTCTCCACAATTGTCTTAGCAGCATACTCTCCCACATCAATCAATGAGTACCTAATTTTTGAGAATTATGAGCCACAATGTTGGAAACCACTTCATTGTTGAATTGTGCTGCCTTTTAGTGTTGTTGTCTAACTCACCATCCAGGTCCAAAAGACTTTCTCCACTGGTTTCCAGTTCAGATATGATTCTAGGAGGTCACAGAGTTGCTGCATCCGAACACAGTCCTATAACATACAGACATTTTACAGAATACTGTTAAAGACACCATGGTAAATAAAGATAACGTGTGGATGCACTCATATGGATATACATTTTGCATCAACAAATCACTCTACAAGAAAACAGGCTTACAACTAGTAAAATAACAGATCAGTTTGACCTTTAGTTTAATAAAATCAAAAATATTTATATTAGTCTTCAGATAACTGACTGGATGGGCAATTCTCACTAAATGAACTATTTAATATCACTGAGTAAGCCTCTTTAATCCTACTTCATTGGCAAGGGCTGCTGCCTTTCTCCACTGCTGTATCCCTTGTATCCTCAAGATTTTTTTTCCATGAGGATTCTGTTAAAATATTTAAGTTTGCTGATAACACCACTGTTGCTGGATTGATAACTGGTTCAGATGAATCTGCATACTTGAGGTAGGTCTCTAATCTGGTGTGTTTGAGCAAAAGTCACAATTTTCAACTTAACACTGACAAAACTAAAGAAATTACTGAAGATTTTAGGAAAGTGAGGGAAGCGATACCACCTCTCACACTCACTGGCAAAGTAGTGGAGCAAGTGAACAATTTCAAGTTCTCAGCACCGTCATTTCTGCTAATCTGTAATGGGACAATAATGTTCAGCCCAAGCTCAAACCCAGAAACTTCTTGCTGTGGGGCGACAGCGCTAGCCACCGCGCTAGTGTGCTGCCACCCTGAAGTGATTGGGCTGCTAAATAGTCAGCCTTAGGTACTCCTTGTTTTAGTTTTTCTTTTAACTTGGACTTATGTATGGTTTAATTTCTGTAAATTTAACTCGGTTTTACTGTTTTTTGTTATTTTAAGTTGGTCTCATTGTTTTAACATTGAGTGGGTTTTATGATTGTTGTTTAAAGACTGAATCGGTGAGATTATGCGGCCGCTGTTGCTAACTGACGATGCATACATCAAGACAAATTCCTGGTATATTTTATAATTGTCAAATAAAGTTTGAATTTGAATGGAAGTGTCACTATGCACATCTTATCTTTTGGTACAAAGCTATCACACCCAAAAGTCTGGAAATACACTATCAAATAAACAATAAGAGAAAATTTAAATTTACTGCTATTTTCTTGGTATTTATTAACAAAACCAAAATTATGGTTAGAAGGGATTAAGTTCTAAAAAAAACAACATTATTTAGTGATCTAATTAGAGCTCCATAAATATAGCCAGAGCATAGTATTACTAACACACACACTTACATCACTTAGTGCTGTGGAGCTTTGATCAGACCAGGAAGAAACAGTGGACGGAAGGCTGACAGACAAAACCTGAGAAGAGGATGATTGAGTTAAATATAACATTTTGTTCAACAGAGACTGTAACACAGAAACTTCCTAACTTGCATATCCTATTTTAACTCTTTGGTAACCATTGTAATTAGGGTTAGGACCTGATTTAGGTTAAAAGACATTACAAAAGAACAGTTCCTAAGTTAGTGTTCCTATCCTAACACCTGACTAGTGTTGCACGATATACCGGTACTAGTATGGTACCGCGGTACTGAGGCATTTAAAATGGTATTATACTGCATTTGGATGGGACCGGTACTTGCAGCGCCGCCGGCAGCGCCCACCCGCAACAGAGGAAAACAGAGCAGGAAACAGCTTCCTCGTCCTCTGCTCACTGAGCAGCGTGGACTGGAGCAACAAACGGAGCAGAAGGAAAGCTTGGAGAGAGCAGAGACGTTGGAGAGGGAGAGAGCGAGAGAGAGAGAGAGAGAGGAGCACGGAGAGGAGAATGGCTGCTGTAACAGTCACCACCCCGCAACTTGTGGACAAACGAGGGGCGCGAAGTGCTATATGGCAGTACTTCGGCATAAAAACAAATGAGCAAGGAGAGGCAATTAACGTTGATGCGCCATTGTGTAAACGAGCTTCCAACAAAAAACACGCAGATGGATGGGTGTGTGCTTTACATTTACTCGGAGACTCTTATGAACCTTGCTACTGTTTTGTAACAAGTACACTAATATAATAGGTTGAAACTGACTTTTTATTAACCAGCGTGCAATGAAGTGGTATGCTTAACAGTGACAGGATGGGATAAGTTAACAATGACTGACTACAGAGGTGGGGCTTGTTAAAACTAATGAGCTGTGAGATTTTGGACAAGTTATATCAGCTGTCAGGGACTTTAGCACATTTTTTTTTTTAGTTTATCACAGAGCTTCATTAATTTGTACTGTAGACACAAGAACCCATGTTTAAGTGAAATCAGAGCTCCTGGTCAGAAATCTGACAAAACACACACACACGCAGTGTTTTCATTTCTTGTGGGGACTTTACATTGGCTTACATTCATTTCCCATAGACCTATCCTAACCCTAACCATAACTACTACTCGCCTAACCCAAACCCTGACCCTCACCCTAACCTTAAGCCATGTTGCCACCCTAAAATTCAGTGCTTCTGGTCCCCACAAGGATGGCCAACTCCCCACAGTGTGAGTGTGTTAACAGGTTTAATAAAAAGGCGCGCACACGCATGCGCACACACGCACACACACACACACACACACACACACACACAAACACACAATTCCAAATCAGAAAAAGTTAGGATGGTATGTAAAAGCAAAATTAAAACTGAAAATAGTGATGTGTAAATCATCTGTGTCCTGCATCACATTGAAAACAACACAGCAGCACATTATTTGATGTGACACCTCATCAGTTTTATTCTTTGTTCAAAATAAACACATTCCAAATAAAGTTGGATGGTCACATTTCAGGGCCAGTAATGAGGTAAAACAGTGAAATGATGATTCCATATGAAACAGATGATGCCAACAGGCGACTGCATCATGATCTGGCACAAACATGGCATCCAGGAAAGGCCGAGCCCTTTAGGAGCAAAGATGGGCCGAGGACCACCAGTTTGCCAACATATGTGTGAGAAAATTATTGAAATGTTTAAAAACAATGTTCCTCAATGAAAGATTGGAAGGGATTTGGATATGTCACCTTCTACGGTTCAGAACATCGTTAAAAGATTTAAGGAATCTGGAGGGATTTCAGTACAAGGGCCAAGCCTAAGCTGGATGACCAAGCTCTCTGATCCCTCAGACGTCACTGCATCAAGAATCATCTCTCTTATATAAGTGATATAACCACATGGGCTCAGGATGACTTTGGCACATCTGTGTCAGACACTACAATACGTAGTTACATCCATAAATGCTGCTTAAAACTGTACTGTGCCAAAAGGAAGCCCTATGTCAACAGTGTCCAGAAGTCAACTGCTCTGGGCTCAGAGGCATCTGGGATGGACCATCACACAGTGGAAACGTGCACTGTGGTCAGACCAATCGGTATTTCTGGGCTTTTTGGACGGAATGGACGCCATGTGCTCTGGACTAAAGACGAAAAGGACCACCCGGTGTTGGACTGGCCTGCCCGCAGTCCCGACCTGTCCCCAGTAGAGAAGCTGTGGTGCATTTTGAAACAAACTGGGTCAACAACAACCCAGGACCGTTGTGCACCTTAAGACTTGTTTACAGGAAGAATGGGACAAAATGACACCTGACACACTGAATCACTTGGTGTCCTCAGTCCCTAAACATCTGTGTTTTGAAAAGAACGGCAACATCACACCGTGGTAAATGTTTTACTGTCCCAACTTTATTTGGAATGTGTTGCTAGCATCAGAATTGAAGTGTTTATTTTGAACAAAGAATGAAATTAATGATGTTTCACATCAAATAATGTGCTGCTGTATTGTTTTCTATGTAACGCGGGACGCAGAGGATTTACACATCACTATTTTCAATTTTAATTTTGATTTTACATACTGTCCCAAATTTTTCTGATTTGGGGTTGTAAATCAGAATCAGATCTAACAAGATGTGAGTGCTTCTGTGACTTCCTGTACAGACTGAAGACTGGTGAAAAGCTTATAAACTTCAGTCCTGACTACAGATTTTTGTCACTGCCCCCTGCTGCCGCCGCCTGCTCTTGTCTGCTTACCAGGCAAGGCGCAGTACATCTCAATCGTCCCTATTGCTTGCGCATGCCTCTGACTGTTGTCTTCTTTACAAACTAGATTTGTTTTTAATCAATCTTCTCTTACACAGCTCATCACACGATGTAACATGTTCTTGTTACTGGTTTTTTACAGTTTACCAAGGAAAACGGAGTGCTTGGTTTGATCTACTGGATCTCCTTGATAATGAAAACATGGCAGAATCATTTTCATGTGAAATGAGATCACGTAGGGGTCTGAATCAAGATCAAAGAACAATTAATCATACAGCTCTAACCAATGTCTGTTTGAGTCTGAGATAAGATAGGGTTCCTAAAGGTAGGTAGGTAGTTAGGTAGGTAGGAATTTATTGATCTTTATTGATGGGGAAATTCCTGTGCTCCAGCAGTAACAGACAGCAGCAACAAAACACCATAAGAACAAACACCACACACATATCCTCCATCCATCCATCCATTTTCCTCCGCTTATCCGGGACCAGGTCGCGGGGGCAGCAGTCTAAGCAAAGATGCCCAGACTTCCCTTTCTCCAGACACTTCCTCCAGCTCCTCCGGGGGAAGGAAACTCAAAATACAGCAAACCGAACTGTCCAATACCTCAACAAAACCAACTAACCTGACAAATGAGACACACACAGGGGAACATATATATTGGCTGGCCAAACCAATAACACACACAAGGGGTAAACTAAAGACACTACCAAAGCAATCAACTAATAAACACTAAACAGACAGTCTACTCTCAACTAAATATTTCCTTTAAATGTAAAGAAGTTAACATAACTTGACAAATAAAGTTCCAACATAAACTACCAACAAATAAACAATACATTTCTCCCAAACTCCCCCATTTCTTGTATTGGGCACTTGGTGCAGTCCAGGCCTAGTGGGAGGTATTTAAACCTGCTGCTTCCTCAGTCCAATCTTTTGGTTGAATTGCCCCCCCCATCCATGGACCAGGAAACACAGTAACTCAAAAGAAAAGGTAAACATATTAACAATACAAAATTAATCAAACGTGCATGCTCATTGATCAATTGTGTATGTCTAATCTCAAACAATATTTACCTACAACTTAACCTACACACATCAAGAAATTACCCACCCAAGTCCATGTCTGGTGGCGGTTTAGGCCCTCGCATGGTGAAGGCCAGGACTGAGGCCTTCACAATTCCTCAATGGGGAAATTTCAGTGTTTCACCAGCAATAGAGAACAAACAACATAACACCATGAGAACAATCACCACACACATATCTTGATAAATTCCAGATTTTAAGACAGCATAAATTATTCAAGAGAAAAATCAAGAACAAAATTTACATATGTACATATTAACCACGCATTTTACCCCAGGATTTGAGTATTGCAATGTTTACCATTGCATGGTAGTTTATCACTGCAGTGATGTATTGTACAGTTTGATAGTTGTGGGGAGGAATGACCTATGCTAATGCTCCTTCTTGCACTGGGGATGTAGCAGTCTTGTGCTAAAAGAACTGTTCAGAGCCTCCACTGTGTGGTGCAGGGGTTGGGAGGGGTTATGCATGATGGATGTTAGTTTTACCAGCATCCTTCTGTCTGCCACCTCCTCGATGGAATCCAGAGAGCAGTCCAGAACAGAACCAGCTCTCTTAGCCAGCTTGCTGAGTCTCTTTCTGACCCTGACTGTGCTACCTCCTGCCCAACCCACAACAGCGTAAAAAACTGCAAATGCCACCACAGAATCATAAAATGTCCAAAGGAGTGCCCCGTGCATACCAAAGGACCTCAGTCTCCCTCAACAAGTGGCCCTTCTCTGGCCCTTCCTGTACAGGGCATCTGTGTTGTTGGTCCAATCCAGTTTATTGTTGAGGTGGACACCCAGGTATTTAAAGGTGTCCACAATCTCAATATCTGAGCCCTGAAAGCTCAAAGTTAGTTAAAATTTGCTTCTATAATATCAAATTGTACTCTTCTGTAATACAGCCCCAAATATTTCACTTATAATCCTCAGGTTGATCTTGCTTGTTTTTCATTTGTGTTAGCAACAGGGTTAGAACAAAGTCACTATTTCTGATTAGATTTGAACACTTATCTATGATTGTATCATTATCCAAGAAAGAGTATGACACACTGACTTTTCTGAGTTCATGTAATCAAACAATAAAAAGCAGAAAAGTGTTTATGTGCTAATTCTGTTTTATGGGGAGTTTTAGCAGTCCCTGGTAAGCTAGTGGTTAAGGCGCAGTGCTCTTGCTGCTGCTCCCCGGGTTCGAATCAGGGTTGCATCAGGAAGGGCATCCAGCATAAAACACGTGCCAAATGTCAACATGCGAGTCGTCAGTGTGACAATTCGCTGTGGCGACCCCTAAACGGGAAAAGCTGAAAGTGACTTTCATGGGGAGTTTAAATTATTGAGGTGAAAAGGTCTTGTGTGTACATTGGCTATTGTTTGTACTGGAGACTAATTTCTTATGCAGTCATCCTGCTCTAAACCTGTAATTTAACAATGTCTTTCTTGACAAATACAGAATAACAGCTTGTGGTTTTGGAAAAGAGAGGATTTCCTCACAGCATGAAGCAACCGAGTTCGCTCTTCTAACATGGACATGAGGGTCTTCCCCTGGTGTTTCAGACAGCCAACGAGCCACTGAAGTCTCCGCAGTGAGGCCATGTCAAACTGGAGCCTACACGCAACCTGAGTGTTCTCCTGACACACAAACGTGGAGATTAGAGATATAAAACTCAGCAAATACAGTATATAAACACACAATCATGTTACTTGCGTGAGGACTATGGTGGTGTTAATGGTATACCAGTGGTACTTACAGGCACAGAAGTGAGTAGTGTTTGGTCTAGTTGCTGAACTCGCTGCGCCAGCAATTTCTCTAGTGTTCCTGTAGCAAGCAGCCAGCCTAGTGCCAAGAGGAGATTTTTGCTGGATAAACTCCTTCCCTCCTCTTCTTCTCCAGCCTCCCTCTCATACATCCAGTCAGCATGATAACCCGTTTGCCAAAGGCCTGCAACCACCAGCTTCCTGTGCTCTGAGCCTGTACACAGACAAGGGGAAAGTCCCAACTCAGCAAGCCCATGTAACAACTTTCATACTTTAAAAGTAGCACAAGATTTAATTTGTCCTATGTATTGCCACAAAGTGCAAACAGGAAAATGCAGTCTAAATCATGTGTACATGACAGTACAGTAAGTGAGCAAAGTACCTAAATTAATATAAAAAGAATAAAAAAGTACTGTAGTTATTTGCTCAGTGCTCAAAATGTACTCTGTGACACAATAGTGCAGTCATGGTAATCCAACTTCTGTATAGTTCGTTGGAACTCTATTATAGCATCACGAAACTGTGTAATCTATATACAAAAATCTGTTATTATTCATTCCACACAAACTGTAATATTAAATTAAAGATAATGTTGGCTGCTAGATAGGTGTGTTTATTTCAGCTCGGTAAAGGTAGTGTTTATTTGCTGTCCTGACATATTTAGTGCTGCCTGGCTGATGTAATGTTTAACTGACAATTTCAACCACAGTGCACTAACGGTTTGGCTCACACCTTGAAAAGGCCAGTACTGATTATAGATAGATAGATGATAGAGTAGTTTGTGTTTTAATTTTATTTTAACAATACAGAAAACATGGTCATGTCTTTGAAAATTCTCAAAACATTTGAGCACATGGCCTATTGTAATGTATGTGCTGTGTTTTCCAACTGAGCAAAACTACAGTGCTTGACAAACAGCATAAACTGCCTTGCACAGATCTACAAAATAACAAAAACTTTACTGGCCTCCCCTTGACTGTGTGCTGGATTTACAGTACACAATGCCACTTCTGTGAAGGATGTCGAAGAGGAGCTGCCAAAACTGACTTTCCTGGGAAAAGAGTGGCAAGCAGAGTCGATATTAGGAAGAGTTCAGCCACTTAAGGTAAAGGACAAGAAAACACTGCTCATAAAAAATGGCTATGGCGATTTACATTCATCCATCTAAAGTGCTGAAGTTGGCAACTGGACTTGCTTGAGGTTCTCTTAGAATCTATAAATACAGTATACTGTAAGCCTATATGTATAAACTAAACTGGTCTGAAAGAAACTGAAACTATTTAATGTTTCTTTATAAAATGACTTTTATATTTGTCATATCCAAATGCCTGCCACTGTAGCAACCCAACCAGGATAAATCATTCAAATGTTATCAGTTATTTGATCAGAATACCCCTCTTGTCTATTATTAGAAAACAGGAGAAAACCATCGTGAAATTTAACGCTTTATAACGTTTGTTGCACTCACTATAAATGGTAATCACATCGAACAAAGTGATCATATATTCTGTATGTAACAACTGTCTGAAAGGTAACTATTAGCCAAAGCTGTCAAATAAGAGTAAAAAGTACTACAACATTTTGAATTGTCAAAATCACAAAACTCAAGTGTGCCGTTAAATATCGGAAGTGTACTTAGAATGGCACTTGAAGAAATGCACTTAGTTGCAGTTTTTCCAGTCCTGATAACAGTAAAACTGTCTGTGCTGAACATACCACTTCGAGTCCATCGCCGAATTTTGCCCGTCTGAAAGTTTCCGGTGCAGGGACAGCGCTAAGGCCGGTAGCCTCTAGCAGTCTGCACAAAGTTCCGATCACCTGCTTCACTTCCACACTCACAGACACTTTACTCCGCTGCATTACAACCACTCCACACGACTGACATATATATTAAATCTCCATCCATTCAACTGTCGTGAGTTAGTCCTGCGGAAGCGATTTCATTGCTGAAAAAACGTTTTCAAAGACATTTTCACCGGTTTGAGGTTGAACCGTGATAGTTGATATTTCGCGGCGAACAACAACTTCCGGGTACGAAGCCGTTACCAAGGAAGCGAGTGGAAGACATACTTAATTGACGTTGAGGTTAACCAATCATAAATGTGATTCTGACAGAGGTGCGTCGATATATACATATAAAACAATGGATATGTATAGTGGTCCAAATACAAACCTGTTTTAGCTGCATGTAGTTACTATTACACTTACATTTTAGGTGGCAATGCTCAGCAAAAAATATACCATGTTACATTAATAATATTTATTTAAAGAATCAGAATAATTTAAAAATGAGACAACTTCGAATTGTGTGCACAAACGTGCCTAAAATAATGTAAAACAAACTCATTTTACACAGGAATTGGTAAATAATGAACATATGCTATATGCATTAACCTTGGTATCACATATTTAAGAGAAGTAACAATGGAAACCAAATTTAAAGTGAGAGGAAAATACAGTGGACCAGTTTCTGTACTTCAAAATAACAAACATATCGTTTTACAATGCATATTGCTGTAAAAGCAAGTGAAAATTCACCAGGAGTTACTCCACACTTTAAATGAGACTCGTTTAATGAGTTTATTTTACTCCTGCCTAATGTACTCACTACGCTCCAGGAGTGCCAGATCATGAACTCTAGAGTCCAAGAGGATGATCTGAAAGAAAATTAGATCCTTTTAATGAATGCAGCGCATAAGCTTCCATGACATTGGGGTAATTGGTGTTTGTAGTCTTCTATTTCAAGTGCAGGACCTCCACTAACAGAACATTTCCTACACTACTATGCTGTCATCCACTCGTAAGTAAAGGATTTGTATTCATATTTTTTTAATGCTTTTGATATCTGGAGTTAAAGAGTACCACAACATTTATGTTTATTTACTTGTTTATTTCCCAATTTTGGATTCTGACTTATTGTATATTCTAAATGAAGTGATACTTAGATTTGCAATTTATTACTATCATTCCATTTAATAAAAGTTGATATATAAATAAATGAGATATATATACGCAAGTTTATTTTTCTGCCATTTTTTAAGTTGGATTTTGAAGCAAACCTAAATTTTAACCTGACATCCTTTATCTTCAATATATTAGAGTCTAAGAGTGCCTGCACTTGCTCATTTCCGATGTTACTTTATGTACATATCACTATGAATTTATCAATATTTAGCATCTTCTGTTTCACAGTCTGCACCAACAGATTTCCTAACATGCCTCATGTAAGAGTTAAAATTCCTCAACCACTCTTCTTTTTTCTTTTTCCTTTTTACCCTTTCTCTCTCTCATTCATGCCAGATGGAATTTATACAATCCTATTAAGTACTGGTTTGTCAGGGTGTGGCTTGGTTAACCTCTGCTTCGGGCAGTGCTTTGAGGCCATTGTCCACCTACCTCCTGTTCATTTATGTAAAAGGGCAGTTGTGGTTCTCAGCCTTTCCTGGCTACTGGGAGGGTTTCCGTTCACATTTGTGATAAGGACCTCATCCTCCTCTACTTCTTCCTCGCTTTCAGATTCTCCTGACTCATTCTCCTTATGTTTGTCTCATTACCCCATAGGGTGTCAGGTGACAAGAGCTGCGTACAACTGACTGGTCAACACCCTCCTGCGGGGACACCCCAAGGCGGTGCCACACACTCTCTTCACTGCTCCTCTTTCCTTCTCTGAATCTGGGCCACCTTCTAATACAATATCTAATCTCTGCATTATCATGGCAGCTTCGTCCTTGGATGGTACTAGTAGGAATACAGTGAAACTTCCCCCAGCTTCCTCGAGTACTTCCAATAGAGAGGCTACACTTAAACCCAAGCTGTGTTCATAAGTGCCATACCCATGAAGAACCATTAACTGGTCTAATTTCCATTCCAGCCCTCTCTTGGAGACTGTGCTCCTCATAGGATGCAGTGTCTCTATTTTTTATTTATATTCATGTGATTGTTCTCTGGTCATTCCCTCACTATGAGTTAAAGGGACATGAATATTGGCTCCGTTGAGTTCTGAGAGGTCACCTAAGTTAATAACTACTGTGTCATTAGGTTGTAGTTGTCCTGTAATATTACTTATTATTTCACCTTGTGCCTGCATTGTTTCTCCTGCAATTCTCCTGATTACTCTAGCTACTCCTCCTGCATTAAAGAGGAGAGTATTAGCCTGGTGTGTGGTAGGGTGTACTAAAGGCTGGATTAAAGGGAGAAACCTGGTTTTCCCACCCTAAACAACCTGAGTTTATATTTTCTTCTTGATTACTAGCATTTTCTGTATAGTTGTTAAGTTTTGAAGGTTCCTTCATTTTTCTCACTCAATTTTTTTCTGTGGGATTTGGATGAGTCAACAGTTTGTCCTTCACGGTTTGGCATGTACTGCACAGCTGTTTGCAGCCTGCTTCACAAGTGATATAGGCTACTATTGGATATGGCTATATTGTGTTGAGGAACCTGGGTCCCTCTCCATCCCTTTTATTAAGTTCTTTTGCTCAGGGGCTTACCGAGGGGGGCACTCAATGCTCTTTAAAGAGGGTGCAAAGCCAAAGCTTCCTATATTCACAGTAATTTCTTCTCATTAGCTGAAGTTGAAGAGATTATGAGTTTTTGCCTGCACCAGTAGGAAGCAGTTTAACCATTGTTACTGCTTCTTTTGGCTCTAGGACATTAAGTTAGGACATGAATTACTGTGTACAGTATGACTAGGTCCCTACATATACAAGCTATTCTCTACTCGTACATCTGGTTCCTATTACATGTCATTTGTTATGGGTTTTTGTAGTTTAACACGACAGCCATTCCAGATAGTGACTGTGCCCCCTCGGCCTGGGTGCCATGTTGTAAACACAAGTGAATATACACTGGGAGTTACACAGCGCTTTTAATGAGACTTATTATACACACTCCTAAT